AGATGGTCAGAGGTCAAAAGGCCAACAGGCCCAAGGGTCCTATGGACGGGCTGGTCCGTCCAGGCCAGCCATCACCTTTCCAGGAAAAATTTGAGAGCCCGGTCAATGTTCATACGGTGACCCACCCTGGTCACGCCCAGGTCCACATAGTCCTCCTTGGTCAAGGCGGGCAGGTGGGAACCATCAATCTCGTGGTCCAGGAACTGGGCTCGATGCTCCGACAAGCCTAACCATTCCAGCCAATCAGCCACATCAAACTTGGTCCAGAACCCCAGAGGCTTAGCGCCAAAGGGCTTGTCCGGCGGCAGCGAGAGCAGGCGTGTGGGCGATAGGGAGCGAGAGGCCCCCGACAAGGCTCCTCCAAGACCCCCGGATATCCCAGGGTGCGGTGGTACAAACACGGGAGCAAAAGGGTCAGCCGAGCCTCCTGCCCCTCCTGTTGGGGAGCTGCGGATGTCGAAGAGGCCCGGGTAGAGGGGTCCGGAAGGCAGGATAGGCAGAGAGGAGGGTCTGGGCGCCGGGCTGACCTTGTGGTCGGAGGTGGGCAGCAGCGAGGGGCTGGGCGCCCGGCGGAGCAGAGGAGGCCGTGTCTCAAACTCCACGCCCTGCAGATGTCGGGCGGAAGCTGAGGACGACGTTGGGGAAGTAGCTCCTGGGCCGGCAGCTGCTGAAGAGGAGACCCCGGGTCCAGTGGGGAGTGGTGGCAGAGGGGGTTTAGGCCAGTTCTGAAAGAGGCTGCTTCGGGGTTTGGAGAGGAGAGAGCTCTGGGAGTCTTCGGAGAGCCTGGAATGTCACAAGGGGGGTGGGGTGGGGAGGGAGAAGGGTTGGGAGGAGTGTTGAGGGCAGGGGTGAGGGGTGAGAAGGAGGTACGGTCATGACGGAAGGGAAGACACAACAGGGGCGGAGAGATGGAGAAGATCCGGGTGAAAGGGGAGGTCGGATGGATATCAGGAGAGAAGAAAGGGGTGAGAAAAGGACAGGGACAGGGTGATAGCCAAGAAAGATGGAAGAAAAAGAAACATTAAGTGCCAGTAATAATATCCATCACCACTCACTGCTGCTCAAGTGTGCCAGGCATTGGACTAAGGGCTTTCCGTAGCGCTTCTCAATTTAATCCCCAAGACAGCCCTGACAGGTTACTATATTGTCAACAGCACAGAGAGTTTAAGAAACTTGCCTAAGGACACACAGCCAGGATGTGGCAGAGCCCAGTTAGAAGTCACCGAAATCTGAGCTCTTCACCACTATTCTAAACTGCCTTTTTTTTTTTTTTTTTTTTTTGGCGTTATGGTAAGTCATAGCAGAGTGGAAGACAGAGAGACAGGGAGTGAGAAACAAAAAAGAGGTGGGCATTCAGGGTGGAGAGAGATGGAGGGGGATAGGGGACAGAGAGACAGAGAGAGAGAAAGGTGAAGAGAGGGAAATGAAAGAGAGAAGAAACAAGGGGAGGAAAAGGTTTCCCTCATCCCTTGAGTTCCCTCCAGCACACGGGGCCTTTGACTGGCTGTTCCCACTGGGTGACTCACTGTTCCCCACCCACAGCCTCAATATCTGACAGATGTGTAACCATCCAATACCTGGGTTGTTTTACAAGAATGACTAATTATTGTGCCTACCATCTAGCTCTGGGTGTGGCTCAGCAGCACAGTGCTTGCCTATAATCCCCCAGTGAGGAGCTGGGGGTGTGGCTCAGTGGTGGAGCCCCCACCTAGAATCCCCCAGTGAGGAGCTGGGGGTGTGGCTCAGTGGTGGAGCCCCCACCTAGAATCCCCCAGTGAGGAGCTGGGGGTGTGGCTCAGTGGTGGAGCCCCCACCTAGAATCCCCCAGTGAGGAGCTGGGGGTGTGGTTCAGTGGTAGAGCCCCCACCTAGAATCCTCCAGTGAGGGGCTGGGGTGTGGCTTAATAGTAAGACTACTTGCCTAGAATCTCCTCCCAGTGATAGGCTGAGGACCTGGCACCTGGGGGCTGGGCCAGTCCTGAACTGTCTACTCTGCCCCTCCCCTCACCCAGAGGGACACACTACTGGTGTGAACCCCCACCCAGCCCATGCAAATGTTGACTACAGGAGGCATCATCCCATCCTTGGTGAGGAACAATGTGAAGACTGTTTCAGATCTCTGAGGCCTGCTAAATCACACTATTAAACCCAAGATCAAAATACAGTGAGCTCTGTAGATGGAGAGGGAGATTGGCAAGCTGTCCTTACTGTGTCTGAGTCAAGAATGGGATTGTTTTCCCTGAGACCAGCAGGGTTTGCCCGGGTCAGGCTTCACTGAGATCACAACTAATGTACTTAGGGAACCTCAGTTTTGATCCCTATTCCTCCAACTCTCGGGTGCTGGGTTCTCAGTAGACACCATGTCCTTCCCTCCCTACACAGAAAACAATAGTCCAAATTAAGTTCTGTCTGAATCTCCTTCAGGCAGGTGCTATGCCCGCTCCTTCCATGGTCAGGTCTGATGTAATGTGGAGCCACACAGACACAGCTGCAACTGCTGTTTCCTTTCTTAATAACATTTTGAAGCTAGGCCTGGTTGTATAGGCCTATCCTTCCAGCCTCTGGGGAAACTGAGGCATAAGGATCACAAGTCTAAAGCCGACCTGAGCTACAGAGTGAGTTTGAGGCAAGCCTAAACAATTTAGTGAGATTCTATCTCAAATTCAAACATAAGAAGACTGGCGGTGTGTCTCAGTGGTTAGAGCCCCTGCCTAGGATCCCCCAGCGAGGGGCTGGGGTGTGCTCAGGGGTAGAGCCCCTGCCTTGAATCCCCCAGTGAGGGGCTTGGGTGTGGCTCAGTGGTAGAGCCCCTGCCTAGGATCCCCCAGTGAGGGGCTGGGGTGTGGCTCAGTGGTAGAGCCCCTGCCTAGAATCCCCCAGGGAGAGGCTGGGATGTGGCTCAGTGGTGGAGCCCCTGCCTAGGATCCCCCAGTGAGGGGTTGGGGTATGCTCAGGGGTAGAGCCCCTGCCTAGACTCCCCCAGTGAGGGGCTGGGGTGTGGGCCAGGGGTAGAGCCCCTGCCTAGCATGTCTGATGCCCTGGGTTTGATTCCCAGGACAAGTTCAAACACAATGAAATCTAAAATATGCAATTCTTTTTTTGTCTCAGTGGCCCTGGAGTCAAGAGTGTGCTCAGAGTGTGGACTACTGCAAGACAGTCCAGTTTCTATTTTTTGTGTCCTAGGGGATCCTAGGGGGACAAAGGTGGGGGCAGTGGGTCCTAGCACCAGCCATGTCCACCCACCAGTGCCAGCCTCTGCTCACCTCTGCCGCTGTAGGGATGAGGTCCTTTCTGGGATGTAGCTGGCTCCCACGTGGTGGCTGTCGGTACTGCCCCCGCTGCCTCCCCGGGCCCATGGCAGAGCTCCTCCTGCAGTTGCCGAGGACCCACCAAACTGCTGGAGCTTGGAGCTGAGTTCGCTGATGATGCTGGCTTTGACCGTAGCCAAGGCGGAGGCCTGAGGCTGGGCCAGGGGCCCTGGCAGGGGTGGTGGCGGGGGTCCGGGGCCCTCCTCCCAAGGCAGCAACTTCCGAGGCAGGGATGAGACGGTCGGTAAGGGTACTGATGGGACTTCCGGTTCCACTACCACGGGACCCCCAGCCACACCTGCCGTCGAGGGTCCGGAGCAAGCACTCAAGGCCAGTAGTCCATCTGTTCCAGCTCCGGTCACAGAGACGGTGGGACTGGTGGGGGTGACAGGATCTCGGAGTCCCCCACTAGGACCAGGTCGTAAACTTCCACCAGCCAGTGCCCGGCCCCGGAGCTTAGAGGGAGTCATGAGCTGTGGGGGGTATGGTGGACCGGGAGTCGCACTCCCCCCGAAGGCCTGGCCATCCAGGTAGGCAACGTAGGTGTCTAGCAGCTCTGTCCCACTGGCCACCCCGGCCCCGCCCCCAGCCCCACCCCCTGCGTTGCCTCCACCTTCAGCAGAGAGACTACTGAGTGTGGATGCGCTACTGATAGTTTCCAGAGGATGGTCGCTGCTGCTCCTGCTGTCCACCTCCTCGATGCCAGAATCCGTGCCAGGTGGAGGGTCTGGGCCTGGCTGCGGGGCTGGGGGAGCTGGGGCTGCTGGGGCCGGCGGGCCTGGGGGAGGAGGATCCCCCGTAGCCGCGGGAGTCCCCTGGGTCAGCGTGGCCACTTCGCTGTCATAAGATGTCAGGCTGGATGCGGTGGAGTCCAGGGTAGGGGGGGCCGGGGCCACGGCTGGGGGTGGTACTGGGGGCAGAGGGGTGGCCGGGGTGGGAGGGTCGGGCAGAGGGTGGGGAGGCCCAGGAGTGAGAGGTGACTCTGGCTTTTCAAAGCTGTTGGAGAACTCCAGAGGCGGAGGCAGTGGTTCCACAAACAGGAATTCGCCGTCGTCTACGTCCACGGATGGGGCCGGCGGTGGCAGGACCAGCAGCGGAAGGCCGTTCTCCTCGCTGCCCCGCGGGGAGGTGGGAGACGCAGGCAGGACCCTGCGAGGGCTGGGTGGTGGGACCCCAGGCCCATCTTCGGTGGAAGAACCCCTGGTACCCGCTGCGGGGGGCCTGGGCTGGCAGTTCTCAAGGAACCGCACGTGTAGGGGCAACCGCTCCGGCTCCTCTGGAGCTGTGGAACGCCAGGCCTTGCTCACCACCGGATGGGGGGTGGGGGGCTCAGGCCCCAGCTGCAGCAGGAGAGGCCCGACCCCAGGAGCCGTCGGGGGCAGACGGTGCAGCAGGGACCGGCGAGCTGCAGGGGGACTGGCGGGGAGGCCTTTTTCCTGACTCCCCAGGCTTGCACGGTACCCCAGCTCCCTGCGCGACGGGTCCCCCCAGAGGCGCAACACTGGCTCGTGATGCGCATGGGGAGAATGTGGTGAGTGAGCCGAATGGTGGTGGAGGGTGGGCGGTGGGGCATCGTAACGTGGCGAGGGGGGCCTTGGAGGCGGCTGAGGGACGCCCCCACTTTCTGAAGACTCCTTCAAGGCCCGCTCCCGGGCGGCCAAGGCCAGCCCCAAAGGAGAGGTGGGATCCAAGGCCTTGCCGGTTAGGGGATGCACCAGGGGCCGCGGGGGAAGGAAGCTGGTGAAGGCGCTGCTGCCCCCGCTGCCGCCGTAGACTCGGCTGCCCGCCGCATAGGCCCCGTACCCCCCGCTGCTGCCCCCGGACTCCAGCCGGAGGTACGGCTCGGCGGAGAACATGCCTTCATCAATGGACTTGGAGTGTCGCAGCCGGGGACCCGGGGGCGCCCCGGGGCCCAGCCCGCTGCCAGCGCCATCCTCATCCCCTGCGTCGGTGGACAGGAACAGCGTGGACCTCCGTCGGGCTTCGTTCTGCCAGCCTCCCTCCCTCCGCGCCGCGCCTACCAGGGCTGCTCCAAACTGGCTGGTGAAGTCCAGGGTGGCCGGACCGCTGGGCGACGCGGGGGTGGGCACGGGCGACGGGGACGGCGGCACCGGGGAGGTGGTGGGCGCGGGGCCGGGCGAGGAGCCGCCACCACCCGTGCCGTCGGGCTGGGCGGGAGGCTCGGCCTCGGTGCTGCTTCCCTGGCTGCTGCGGCCGCTGCTACTGGTGGACGGGGCTTTGATGATAATGGTGGGGATTGGGATGGAGTTTTTCTCCGACGGCGCGGCCGGGGGTGGCGGCTGCGGCAACGCCGGAGACGTGGGGGACGGCGCGGGAGGGAGGCCGCCCTTCTGGGGCTCCCCTTCCACTTTGGTCTGCTTGACCAGCGGGCCTTTGCGACCGCGGCCCGAGCGAGCTGGCACGTACATGGCCGCGCTGGCCGCCCTCGGGGGCAACTGGAAATAGCGCAGGGCTGGGGCCTGAGAGGGGCCGCTGCCTCCGCTGCTGTGGTGGGAAGGCGATGGAGCCCCCGGGGTCGGGCTAGGTCCTCCGCCCCGCCAGCCTCGAAGGCTGGGCTGGGGTCCCAGAGCCAAGCGTGGCGGTGGGTCGTCAGGGGAGCCGCCCGTCTCCATCTCTGGTGGGTGAGGCGGGTGTGCGTGGTGATGGTGGGGCTGGGGAGGCGGTGCGTGGTGGTGGTGGTGGTGTGGTGGGTGGTGATGGGCAGGGGGCAGGGGTCCACTGTGGTACAGGCTCTTCTCCCGGCTTCCCACACGGGTGTCAGGAGGGGAGGGCCCATCGAAGGATGAAGGGGAGGAGGCGGGAAGGGGGCCCCCAGAGCTGGGGTTGAACGGGCCTCCCCTGGGGGAGGGGGTGAGGCGTCCGGAGGAGGAAGGGGCTGGGGGTGTGCTGTAGGGGGGCTCTGGTGGGGACGTGGTGGGTGGTGGGGGGATGTCCTCCGAGCCGGGGACTGACAGACTACGACTGAATTTCATGGCTGGTGGGGCTAGGTAGGGTCTGTCATCCTCTGCAGTTCCTGGAGAGACACACAAGAACAAGTAGTTGGGGGCTGTGTGAAAGAGCTAGAATTTTCCTTTGTATTTTTTTCGGTTTGGTTTTGAGACCAGGGTGTCCCCTGTAACCTGGCTGGCCTGGACCTCACTATGTGTACCAGGCTGGCCTCGAACTCACAGAGATGGGCCTACCTCTGCTTGTGGGCTGAGGGCATTAAAGGCTTGCACCAGGCTGCTGGTCGCACTAGAAATTTCTGAAGGATCAGCTCAGCTTTTCCTAGGGATACAAGCCGTGCACTGCACAACCGAAACCAGCAGGTGGCGCACAGCCCCAAGAAAGAAATTTCATGCTCTGGCCATGAGGGAGCACCTGTTCCAGTTTGTTTGAAGGTCTGTACATGCTAATGGTGACTAGGGGTGAGTTTAACGAAGGCACGGGGCGGGGGGTGGGGAGGGCACAGACCAGCAGTTACAAAGAACTTCTCAGAAACTGTTGAATCCTCTCTTAGTTAAATCACAAGCCTCTGCTACCAACTCTGGGTCCTCCTCCCCCTGAGCATCGAGCTCTTCCGTCTAGGTATGAAAAAATCCCCATTTTTCTAGATGCAGAGCCCTAAGTCAAGAGATTGAAGCCACCCGCCCCGGGTCACATGGCTCAAAAGCCATCTAACTAGGGTAGGTAGTGCATGTGGCCACAGACCACATTTCCAAGACATACCAATAGATTTTTGCCGGAGCATAAGCCCAGGTCCGGGAGGCAGGAAGGAAGGGCGATCATAACTTGGCTGGGAGCGGTGGTGCGGATCAAAGCTCGACTTTAGGGCAGGAGAGATAGAGAGAAGAGGAGAGGAGAGGAGAGGAGAGGGGAGGGGAGGGGAGGGGAGGAGAGGAGAGATCAAGATCCAGAGATTCCTGTGTTCTGCTGTGAAAGGAGAGTTGCAGATGGATTATGACGGATCATCAGAAGGAGAGGAGAGGAGAGGAGAGGAGAGGAGAGGAGAGGAGAGATCAGTCAGAGCACCAAGACTCCACACCCTTAGAGTTACATTTCTTCTGTGAGTCGCAGCTAGGAGGGACCGGAAGGTTGAAAGGAATTCTCAGTAGGACAGTTTTCTCAGCTGACATGGGGAGAAAGAAAAGAAGGGGAGTATTTGACTCCACCGGTTCTATTTCCTGTCCCACTAAGCCAGGCTGTTCGTGCAGCCGTGGTCTAGTCTACCCAGGTCCCAAAGACATGGTACTGGGCTATTGAGACTGACCAGGTCTGTCCGCTTGCTGTTCCCTTCTCATTCCTGTCTGTTTTCCAGACGCATCTTAACAGCATCTTTCAAAAGGAAATCAGAGCTGGGGAGACGGCCCAGTGGGTGGAGACGACCTGAGTTTTGAGCCTCAGCACCTGCACTTCTTAAGGAGCCAGCTTCCCAGCCGGTGTGAGATCCGCGGAGATGCGCAGGTATGAGGCCAAACTGACTCCCACTTCAGAGCTCCATGTGAGCCTCCGCTGCCTGGGAGACACTCTCATGTCAAGTTCAATCATTATTGTAAAAGATTTATTTTATTTGTGTGTGCAGGTGATCTGCTTGCAGAGACCACTAGAGAGCACCAGATCCCTTAGAGCTACAGTTGCAGATGGGACTCACTATTAGCCCTGCTAGCCTGGAACTCTCTATATAGTAGACCACACTGGCCTTCATCTTGAGAGATCTGCCTGTCTCTGCCTCCTGAGTGCTTAAAGGCATGCAATGCCATGCTCTGCAAGCTGTAGGTGTTTGCAGGGTGCCTGGCTTGTTATGTGGCTGCTGGGATCTGAACTTCTGTCATTATTACACAAGCACATTTAACCATTGAGCCATCTCTCCAGCCCCAATTTCAACTCATGAAAGAAAAGTTTCTGTCCATACATCTGACCATTTACCCATCACTCCACTCTCTATCCAACCATCCATTCATCCTTTCATCTGTCCTTCCTTTCTTCCATCCATCTTTCCTTCCATCATTCCATCATCCCATCCATCCCTCCCTTCCATCATTCCATCCATCTATCCTTCCTTCATCTGTCCTTCCTTCCTTCCTTCCTTCCTTCCTTCCTTCCTCCCTCCCTCCCTTCCTTCCTTCCTCCCTCCCTTCCTTCCTTCCTCCCTCCCTCCCCCCCATCATTCCATCCATCCATCTATCCATCCATCCATCTGTCCATCCTTCTATCTGTCCTTCCTTCCATCATTCTATCCATCATTCCATCCATCCCTCTGGCAAGCCATCTGTCTGACCATCCATCCGTCTGTCACACTAGCCATGTTTGAAGTTCTCCACAGTCATCTGTGACAGTGGCTCCCAATCCAGTGGCTCCACTCTCTATCCAACCATCCATTCATCTTTTCATCTGTCCTTCCTTTCTTCCATCCATCTTTCCTTCCATCATTGAATCATCCCATCCATCCCATTCATCATTCCATCCACCCATCTATCCTTCCTTCCTTCTTTCCTTCCTTCCTTCCTCCCTCCCTCCCTTCCATCATTCCATCCATCCATCTATCCTTCCTTCATCTGTCCTTCCTTCCTTCCTTCCTTCCTCCCTCCCTTCCTTCCTTCCTCCCTCCCTCCCATCATTCCATCCATCCATCTATCCATCCATCCATCTGTCCATCCTTCTATCTGTCCTTCCATCATTCTATCCATCATTCCATCCATCCCTCTGGCGAGCCATCTGTCTGACCATCCATCCGTCTGTCACATTAGCCATGTTTGAAGTTCTCCATAGTCATCTGTGACAGTGGCTCCCAATCACAGGAAATGTGGAACATTTCCATCCTCATGGAAAACTCTAGAGCACAGTGCTGGCCTGATGGATCCTAGGCCCTCCTAGGTCCTGCATCCCTGTCTTGTGTCCCCCTTGCTGTACTCACCTCCTTGGTTAGGACTGTCTATGTTTGGCTCATTCATTCTACTAACAAAGATTGTTCTAGAAGACACGGATGTTCCTGCTACATGAAAGGCAGGCCATAAACAAAAAAATTATAGAACAGAACACAGGGTCGAGTGTGGTGGTTCACACCTGTCATTCCAGCCGAAACAGGGGGATTACCATGAGTTCTAGGCTAGCCTGGGTTACAAAATGAGTTCCAGGTCAGTCTCAGCTACAGCATGAGACCCTGTTTCAGAAAAATCACCCCAGAAAGACAGATACCCTGCAGAGATGCAGGAAGCACAGAGGCCAGCAGGGGGTGCTGTATCTACACCAAACCTGTATCAACACTGGTGCCCAGGGAACTCAGGGGCAGGCCCAGTTATTCCATTAGACCAGTCAAGAGGCTGAGAGTCAGAAGGAGATGGCTCCTCATCAGAGTCGGAGTGATGGGGGAGGTCCAACGTGATGGTGGAGGTTCAGGTGATGGGAAAGGTTCAGGGTGATGGGGGAGGGTCAGGGTGATGGAGGATGGTCAGGGTGATGGGGGAGGGTCAAGGTGACGGAGGAGGGTCAGGGTGATGGAGGAGGGTCAGGGTGATGGGGGAGGGTCAAGGTGACGGAGGAGGGTCAGGATGATGGAGGAGGGTCAGGGTGATGGGGGAGGGTCAGGGTGATGGAGGAGGGTCAGGATGATGGAGGAGGGTCAGGGTGACTGAGGAGGGTCATGGTGACAGAGGAGGGTCAGGGTGATGGAGGAGGTCAGGGTGATGGAGGAGGGTCAGGGGGGTCAGGGTGATGGAGAAGGGTCAGGGTGACGGAGGAGGGTCAGGGTGATGGAGAAGGGTCAGGGTGACTGAGGACATGGTGAAGGGGGTGGGGTCAGAATTACAGCAGAAAGATGAGTGTGACAGAAGTGGACTCAGGGTGCCCAGATCTGGATGAGGGACCCTGAGGCCATGAAAGCAATAGAGAAGGCTAGGGGAGAGGGGTGGATCCTGGAGGTGTACCGCCTACCCCCCCCGCCCATGTTTTGCAGAGGGAGGGGAAACACTTCAGCTTGGAAAAGCTTGGCTTAAAAAAAACGGGTGAGGTGGGGGGAGACAGCTCAGCTGGTGCAGGTACCTGCCCTGCAAGCATGAGGGCCTGGATTCGAATCCACAGCACCTATGTGAAGAGCCAAGCATAGCTTTGAGTGCCTGTAACCCCAGCACTGAGGGCTCCCTAGAGCTCCCGTCAGCCAGTGTAGCTGTGACAAGTTCTAGTTCAGTGGCAGACTCTTCTCAAGGCAGTGAGGAGGAGAGCTGTAGAAGACCCCGACCTCCTACGCTGACCTCCACCTGTGTGCCACACTCGCACACATCACACTTTCATCACCCTGCACCACACACACACACACACACACACACACACACACACACACACACCACACTCTCCCCATACATGCGCACAGGCCACACACATACACCACATACACCATAACACATTATATACCGTACACACATATACACATATAACACATACACCACACACATCATACACATACCATAACATGTTGTATATCATACATGCATATAAACACATACCACATACATCATACATACACCATAACATGTTATATACCATACATGCATATACACACCACACACCCTCACACACACACTGCATGTGCACACACAGCACAAATACCATCTACACAACAGATACACATACACACCATAACACATTGTACACCACACATACCCACCACCCACCACCCACACGTTGTACAGCACACACACATTGTACACCACCCACACACCACACACCATGCACACATTGTACACCACACACATACACCATACACACACATCTCACACACACACAAACACACACCATACACACAGGGACTGGAGAAGTGGCTCAGTGGTTAGGGGCACTTGCTCTCACAGAAGACCGGGGTTCACTTCCCAGAACCAGTAACCAGTCATAACTTCAGTTTCAGGGGATATGACTTACATACATGCAGGCAAACACTCACACACATAAAAATAAATTAAAAATATAACAACACACATACATACACACATACCCCATACACACAGACATATGAACACCATAAAGAAAAATACATAGACTGTATACACACACCATGCACACACCATACACACACATATACAAGCACGCCCCTGACACCACACACACACACACACACACACACACACACCACCACCACCACCACCACCACCACCACCATACACATGCACACATATACAACACACACACACATGCATGCACACACACTAGGTGAACCCTGCACAGGACTTGGTAGTGACAGGTCGTCTGGCTGAGGCACCAGCCAGCGTCCTCTCTGCAAAGGATCAGATGGCTCTAGATAGGATAGTTGGACACCACACACCAAGAGCATCAACTTTGGCTCAGAGAGACTGCCAATCACATTGCACCTTTTCGATTACATCACCAGTTACTGGGTAGGAGCCTCCTTAAAGGTTAGGCTGGAGGGCCCAGATCTTAGGGGACCTCTTGGGTCAGGTGCCAGTGGCAAGGTGCGCACATCCTGCTGTGCCAACCCTGAGTGGGTGAGAGGAGAGCTGAGAAAGACACGGAAAGACATGGGGAGACACAGGCAGAGAAGACAGGAAGCACGTGGAAGCCTGGGGAGAGGCTGGAGGGGAAAAGAGCCAGAGTATACAGAGATAGGGGCCCAGAGAGGCAGGAAGGACAGGAGGAAGGCTGAGCCAGATGCCACCAGGGAGGGACCAAACCTGCTGGGAAGATGGCTGAAATTTCCAATGTGGATGGATCCAAGGGCCTTGTTCATACTAGACTGGCACTCTACCTGACTCAGGCCCTCAGCTCCTCACTGAGGGATTCTAGGCAGGGGGCTCTACCTCTGAGCCACACCCCAGCCCCTCACTGGGGGACTCTAGGCAGGGGGGTCTACCTCTGAGCCACACCCCAGCCCCTCACTGGGGGAGCCTAGGCAGGGGCTCTACCACTGGGCCACACCCCAGCCCCTCACTGGGGGGATTCTAGGCAAGAGCTCTACTACTAATTTACATCCTGAGTTCTCTTTGCACTTTTTCTTTTGTGACAGAGTCTCACTGAGTTGCTCAGGCTGGCCTTGATCTCAGTCTGCAGCAGAAGCTGACCCAGAACTTTCCACCCCTTTGCCTCCACCTTCTGATTTGCTGGGATGACAAGCCTGCATCACTGGACCTCATCTGTCATCTTCTGTCCTGCTGAGACCTTCTTGTGCTGGGATCAACCCCTCTAACACTCATCAGAACTGGGCAAGGCTGGGTTTGGCCTCGCTCTGTGGAAGAGGAGGGAAGTGGTTTGATCTGAAGTGGGCTCTGACTGCTAGAATTTCTGGGGACCAGGAACAGAGGGAACTTCTAGGGAGGTGTGCAGCCCCAGGGAGGGACATCCAAGAGGCCGCAGTAGCTGAGAAGCAGAGGGGGTATGTCTGAGGAAGTGGGGTCCCTGAAGGCAGGGCCCAGGCCTCCAGGAAACACTGAATTCATGGACAGATGCACCAATATGGTGGCAGTGTGGATCTAGTTCCACTTAGGATAAACCCAGGGCATAAAACTGCTTAACTCTGTCTCTAAAAACAAACAACAAACAAATGCCAGGCAAGAGAGTTCACACCTGCCATCCCAGCACTCAGAAGGCTGAGACAGGAAGATTGCTGCAAGTTCAAAATGAGCCTGGAGGCTGGAGAGATGGCTCAGTGGTTAGAGCACCAGCTGCTCTTGCAGAGGACCCAGGTTTAGTTCCCAGCATCCACATGGTGGCTAACAACTGTCCTTAACTACAGTTCTAGGAGATTCAATGCCCTCTTCTAGCTTCTGTGGGTACTGCATGCTTGTGGTGTACATACATACATGCAAGCAAACACTCATGCACATAAAATAAAACAAAATTAAAAACAATATGGTTAGGGGCTGGAGAGATGGCTCAGCAGTTAAGAGCACTGGCTGCTCTTGCAGAGGAACCAGGTTCAGTTCCCAGCAACCACATGGCAGCTCACAACTGTCTGTAACTCCATTTCCAGAGATCCAATGCCTTCTTCTGACCACCACAGGCAGTGCACACAGGTGGTACACTTACATACACACAGGCAATACAATTATACACACAATAAAATAAATAAAACAAAAACAAAGTGGTTGACATCTGAAGAGTACCTGTGGTTGTCCTTTGGCTTACACATGCACACGCACACACACGCACACACACCTGCACACATACACATACACACAAATACACACGCACCCACACATAAACACACACACACATGCACAGACACATATACACACACCTACACACATACACATACACATACACATGCACCCATGCACATGCAGACACATATACACACACTTACACACATACACACACATACACACATACCTACACACACATACACATGCACACACACATGCACACATACCTACGCACACATGCACACACAAATGGACACCCACCCACATATAAAAGATGGATCAGATATGACCTCACACTGCTGGATCTGTGCAACTCAGAACTGGGTGTGAAAAGTCACAACTCCAGGGGGAATGTTTAATCAGAGAGTGAGGGAACAAGACCCTGACAGTCAGAGAGCGTGGGGAGAGTGAGGAGACAGCTCTTTGTTGAGCACCTGTTGTGACTGGTGTTGGCCTCATTCAACCCTCCTGGGCACAGCCAGAATGGCTTGGACCCATTATACAGAGCAGGAAACAGAGATCCTGAAAATTAGGCAGCCTGGTTCAAAGGCACATAGGAAGTGGGGGGATTGAGGATTTGAACCCACAGCCTGGCTCCAAGGCTGATGTAGTTGATTCCTTTCCCTTCCCTTCCTTCCATCCTTTCTCTTGTTTCTCCATCTGTCCCTCTGCCTGCCTCCCTCCTTCTTCCTCCCTCCTTCCTCCCTCCCATCTCCCTCCCCTGCCAGGCTTTCATTCTTTTGCAGTACTGGGATTGAACCCAGAGCAGAACCCAGAGCCTTGAACATGCTAGACAAACACTCCTCCATGGAACCACATCTCCAGCCTACAGTTTTGGACTCTTGCTCTGACTTTGTGGGCAGCAGGGCATGAAAGGTGACCCCAATGACTGTGCAGATTCTAGATCCTTTAGGAACCAAGGATGGGCATAAAGCGGGGTGGGGGCTGGGGCTTTTACTCTGACAGCCTGGGAAGTGGCCTGGGACTCTGCCTCTGAGCTGGAGACTCCAGGATTGCTGCTGCAAAACTCATCCCCTGCCTCTGCCTCCTGTAAGACCATAGGGCTGTCTGGAGCAGGGGCCTAACCCTGGGGTTGGGGCTGTGGGTGGGCATCAGGGAGGCTATGCACTTGGACAAGAACAAACAGCCTGTCAGTTTTCAGACTCCCTATGGAAGCACAGCCTTCCTCTGAGGAAGGGAGCTCTGCTAGTCTCAGTGAGACAGGTGTCTGCATCCACGGGAGAAATCACAGAATTTCCCTACCCTGTCCCAGTGGCCCAGATTTCTACAAATAGTGTTTATACTGCTCTGGAATTTGCAATTAGAGTAGTTAAGTTCCACAGCCCGACCTCGAAGTATAACACATTGACAAAAAGATACCCATATTACGGAACCAAAAAAAATTTTTTTTCTCTACAGAGTTACCCTGTAGCCCAGGCCAACCTCATTGTAGTCTTCCTGCCTTGGTCTCCAGAGTGCTGGGATGACAGGGCCAGGCTGCCACAGCTGACTTCAAATTTCACTTTTAAAAAATACTTCCAGGGGCCGGAGAGATAGCTCAGTGGTTAAGAGCACTGACTGCTCTTGCAGAGGACCCGGGTTTGATTCCCAGCACCCATGACACAGGTGCACTCACACACATGCAGGCAATACACTCATACACATAAAATAAAAATAGTAAAATATTTAAAAATATATTTCTAAAGTAGAAGTTGGAAATCAGCACTAGAGCACTTACATAACTCCTACCAGTGAGAGTGGGGTGTGGCTCAGGGGTAGAGCCCCTGCCTAGAATCCCCCAGTGAGGGGCTGGGGTGTGGGTCAGTGGTAGAGCTCCTGCCTAGAATCCCCAGTGAGGGGCTGGGGCTGGGGTGTGGCTAAGTGGTAGAGCCCCTGCCTAGAATCCCCAGTGAGGGGCTGGGGTGTGGGTCAGGGGTAGAGCCCCTGCCTAGGATCCCCCAGTGAGGGGCTGGGGTGTGGCTTATGGTAGAGCCCCTGCCTAGTAAGACACAGTAAGCACTGTTCTGAGAAAGCCTATGACAGCCTCCCATGGGGCTCTTGGGCTCCTCAAAAGTGAAGAAGCCGGATTTAAAGTGAATACCTTTGTTCACCACTAGGCTGTGGGTGTGGCCTGAGGACAGGGCCTTGGCAAGCAGTGGGTGACCTCCTGAGGTGACAGTTGGAGTGTGTGGGTGGCACTGATAGGCCTTGTGGGGATGTGTTTGTGTTAAGTGGTTGAGCCCATGGGGAGAATACAGCAGAAGGGCCCCACTGAGCTTGGACCTCCCCTCACTTGGGCCTCCCTGACCCTCCACCCCCGGTAAACAAGCTAACTAGTGTTATATGCCTCGAAGGAAGATTCTAGGGCATGAGTGAGGTTAAGGTACTTTGTGCAAAACGCAGCATCTGAAATATGACGGACCCTTGTTACAGCTCAGCTTCTGATAGTGGGAAGGAGCAGGTGGATGTGTGGAGAGGGGACACAGGCTGTTTTTCAAGGTTTGTGCGTGTGTATGTGTATGTGTTTGCGCGTGTACCTGTCGGTGTGTCTAGAGGCCAAAGGTCAACATCGGATGTCATCCTCAATTGCCTGCTACCTCATTTTATTTTATGTGTATCAGTGTTTTGCCTGTATGTATGTAAATGCTCCCATGAATGTAAATGCCCACAGAAATGGGAGCCAGATCCCTTGGAACTGGAGTTAGGGATGGTGTTAGCTGCCATGTTGGTGCTGGAAACCAAATTCAGATACTCTGTAAGAACAGTCCGTGCTTTTAACGGCTGAGCCTTCTTTCTGGCCCCTGTATGTGAGTGTATCTGTGTGGGGCTATGTGCATATAAGAGTGGTACCCTCTGAGACCAGAAGAAAGTGTTGGATTCCCTGGGGCTGGAGTTACAGGTGGTTGTGAGCCACCAGGTGGGTGCTGGGAACTGAACTTGGGTCTTCTCTCTTGACCTCTGAGCCATCCCTTCAGCCCCTACACCTTAGTTTTTGAGACAGGGTCTCTCTGTAAACCTGGGGCTCGCCCATTCAGCCAGACTTAAAGCCAGTGAGTCCCAGGGATCCTCCTGTCTATCTTTCCAGTGCTCTGATTACAGACGTGCACCCTGTGCCTTTAAAAACATTTTAGTATTTTAATTGCATGTGTATGAGTGTATTGCCTGCATGTATGTAAGTGCACCTGTTCCATGCAAAGCTCACAGAGGTTAGAAGAGGATGCTGGACCCCCGGAACTGGGGTTAGGGTGGTTGTTAGCCACCATGTCGGTACCTTACTCTCATGGCGAGCTCTTTACCAAATAAGCTGTCTTCCCAGCCCTGTTCATGTTTTTAAATAAATTAAGGCAGGCCCTTCCTGTTTTGCCCAGCCTCGTTGGGCTCAATCAATCCTCCTGCCTCAGCATCCTAGGTAGTGGGGATAACAGGCACATGTCACTGTGACCAGGGGCTTAATAGTTTTTTAAAAACTTATTTTATTTTTATTTATGTGTAAGTGGGTCTGTATGTGTATGTCATGTGCATGCAGTGCCCCTGGAGGCCAGAGAACAGAAAGATAGGGGAGGCTATCATTGGGGGCGGGAATCATGGTACCCCTCCAGCACAAGCATGGAACTCTGGGGGTTCAGGAAACATTTGCAGTGGGGCTTCAGGTCATCAAGCCAGGTTACCTACCTCCGTGGCGAAGAAGCCTTTGGGCCGGTGCTTGCCCAGGGACGCAAGGCCACCAGGTCCAGGACTCTCGCTGGCGCTTATGGTCTGCTGAGCCGCAGCCAAGATTTCATCCAGTTTGTCTGTGGGGAGGTGAAGACAGTTGGGTAGACAGTGAAAGTGAAGGTTGCTGTGGCCTGCCACAGAGACCAGGCTGTTGGGGGCAAGCTCTAGAGTTTGCTTCTATCCCTGCCTGGGGTCGCCTTCCAGCCCAGCAAGCAGGGGCCCAGAGATGGCAGAACACAGGAGAGAGGATGGTGCAGTGGTGGTATGGGTATGCTTGGGCTACGAGGACTCTGAGTGCCAAGTTCACACCTGGCTGAAGGGTGCTTGGAGGGAAGGAGGGAAGGGATGCATGCAACATCCCCAGAAAGGGACTGGGGCATCCGAGAGCCGTGCTCCAACATCTTACTGAGAGCCATCTGATAGACAGTCCTCTTTTTCTCCATGCTGGGCACCGGCGCAGGCTGTTGTTCATAGTCTGTGGGCAAAGGAGAGGGATGAAGCTCCAGAGTGCATGGCCAGTGGGTGTGGCCCAGCGGGTGTGGCCAGCGCGAGTTGGGGGCAGTGCTGGGCTGGGGTCAGGGAGGGGTGAATCCGCCGCTGGGGTCAGGAAACTGGAACCCTCCCACCAGACCTGAGCCCACTCACCAATTTTCTTCTTCCAGGGGGAGACTAGCCCGGGGGGGAGGCAGCAGAGGAGCCAAGAGTTAGGAGGTCAGGGGGAGGAAAGGGACCCCTCTCTGGAATGTCCACCTCCCTTAGGGACCCAGGGGGTGAGGGATGGTTAGCTGCCCAACTGACCCCATGACTGGGGTCAACAGGACCCACCCCAGGTTCAAAGAAGCACTGTCTGGAGGGAGGAGCCGACCCCCTGGTTGTTTGAGGGGGCCAGTGGCAGGAGGGAGAAGGGAGAGGTAGAGAGTGACCCACAAAACAGAGTCCAAGACCCCTGACATAGAAACAGGGATACAGCAGGACGGAGGGGAGACTCAAAAAACTGAGCCCAGCCACGCATAGACAGGCTGTGGAATCTGGCCCTGAGGACATGGGTGGGGAGTGGAGAGGGACAGGAGGAGGAAGACGGGGACCCTCAAGACCCCTTGTGACTAACGACACTGACAAAGCCATGGGTGATCCAGCCCCGGGCTGCCCCTGGCCCTCGGTCCCAGCAGCCCCTCAGACTCACCCATTTCCTCCAATTCTGAAGTCATAGACTTGGAACGCAGGGAGATGGCTGGGGGCGGGAGCCGCTTAGCCTGTTGGGATGCTGCAAAGGTGGGGGGTGGGAGGCCTCAGCATTGTGGGGAGAGGACCCCTTGGAACCTTGTCCTACTGCTGTGTTCACAAAGAACAGCATCCCAGCATGTTGACCCTTTTCTGCCTCAGTTTCTCCCCAGAAGGGTTATGAACAGGCAGCCTCCCGGGAAAAACAGAACCTTCAGGTGTGTGGGGGTGGTGTGCTGAGAGTGTTAATTTCGTGACAGTTGGGGTACCAAGGCTTGGCCCCACGGGTGGTTGAAAAAATCCCTTTCTCTCTTTTTAACATTTATTTTCTTATTTATTTTAATTTTATGTGTACAAGTGTTTTGCTTGCATGTAAGTGCTCCACATGAATGCAATACCCATGGAGGCCAGTAGAGGACAACAGATCCCCTGGAACTGGAGTTACAGATGGTTGCTGTCATGTGGGTACTGGGAACCAAACCTGGGTCCTCTGCAAGAGCAGCCAATGCTCTTAACTGCTGAGCCAGCTCTCCAGCCCCGACTCCTTTCTCTTGAGACAGGGTCTCATGTAGCCCAGGCTGGCTTCAAACTCACAAATAAGTCTAGTATGACCTTGAATGTCTGATCTGGCAGGCCTCTTCCATAATGCCCCATTAATGGTATTCTGGGGGTGGGACCTGGGGCTTCTCCTGTTCTGGGTCTATGGATTGAGCTGTACCCCAGATGTGGAAGCACCTTTCTTGTGGACAGCCTCGTCCATGTCCGGATGTCTGGTCACCATCACCACCTTTACCATCAGTGTGTTGCCTCCCTGACGAATCATGTTGACCACCTGCCGGTGGCCAACCTTTACCACGTTCTGCCCATTCACCTGTGGTGTGGAGAGAGGGGACAGGACCTTGAGCTCCAGAAACCTTGCCAGTGCCCCCACCCCTCAGGGCTGGGCAGAAGCTTTGTGTGCTGATCACCTCTGTCTCTCTCTTGTATCCTGTATTGTTGGGGGACAGTTCTGTGATACTTTTGTTTTTGACATAGTCTCGCTCTGTAGCCCAGGCTGGGCCGAAAGTATATAGCTCAGGCTGGTTCGGAACTCACTCTGTATCCTAGGCTGGCCTGGAACTCACTCTATAGCCTAGGCTGAATGGAACTCACTAGGTAGCACTGGCTGGCCTGGAACTAGTGGCAATCTTCCTGCCTTAGCCTCCCACAGGCTGGAATGACAGGTGTGAGCCATCACACCAGCTTAGACATTTCTGGGGTCTACAAAGTGTTGTGGGATAGGTTGCGGTAGATCCTAAAGATTGCATGAGGTCAGTGGGTGACGGGAAACTGCGCTCAGCTTGTGGCTTAGGTGGGGTGGGGCCTTGTCGTCAGGGTCCCCAGGAAGATGACGTGGCCAGAGCTCACCTCGATGAGGAAGTCTCCCATCCGCAGTCCTGCCCGCCACGCCACGCCACCCTCGTCCACAGACTCGAGGTACTGCAGCGCCGGGAAGGCCGGGGTTGGGGTGAATTCCTCGATGGGGGTCTGCGCTGCAGACGGGGAGGAGCCGGCGGGGTCGGAGGGGAGGGGCAGAGAGGCCGAGCAGGGGATGGGGCTCAGACCCAAGTCACAGAGGACTCACTGGAGCTGAGGGACCAGCACCCCGGGGTGGGGCAATGGGGAAGCTCGAGGGAGTGTGTGTGGGTCCATTCTCTTTTTCCACCCTCCCCACCCAGGCCCTGCTTCCTGGGTCACAGAGACCGTCCCATCCCCTCGGCACTCACCCTTGGCCCCACGGAGCACGAACCCGAACCCTTCGCTGTCTTTCTTTTGCAGCAAGACTGTCTTCTCTTTGATGATGTAATCGCTGGCAGGAGGCAGGAGGGGTAGGGAGAGGGTGGAGAAGGGCTCATGAGGCACAAAGCTGGTACCCCACCCAGCCACAGGGTGCCCCAGCCTCTGCTCAAAGACTCATGGCAGCTGCTGGGACGCGTCCCCCATCCCCCCTCTGGTAGAGACAACCCCTTGGAGTCTGGGTGCTTCTGCTCCACCCACTCTTCTTCATTCGCCTGTCCATTCATCCATTCGGAGCCCATGGTGAACCAGACACCCAGTGGGGTGGGCAGAGAAGGCTCTAGTTCACCACAGCCATAGCCTGGATCCCAGCTGGTAGTTCAAGTGACCTTGAACCTGAGCCTTTAACCTTTGCCTACAGTGGGGGCCTGCCTGAGGAGACTGTGGCAGAGAGGAGGGGCCTTCTCATGGGCTGAGGAGGATTTGTTCATTGTCCTTAGATGGAGCTATTAAGTCTAGAGGTGTGTGTACTGAGACCCCCATTTCCTTTACCGTACATATGTTAAGGAACACCTCCCAAGGACCGAAGCAAAACAGAACACTGCTTAACTGGCCTTGCCCAATATGGTGACCACTAGCCTCAAGGGACTATTCTTTTTTACCAGAATTAATCAACATTAAATGTAGAGTCTGTTCCTTGGTCATGATGGACTCGAGGCAGCCAGCCACAGTGCTGACACAGAGTATTCCTGTCCCTTGTAGAAAGTTCCGGTAGGCAGCGCTGACCACTGCTTCCTCTGGTAAATCTCAAGTGTGTCTCTGGTACACTAGCAGTAGGCTTGGGTCACATACCAACTACCAACTAGATCTCACTGGAGCAGACCTGTAGTCTTAGCTACTGAGAGGGGAGCTGAGGCAGAAGAATCAAAAGTTCAGGGCTTGCCTGGGCAACTTAAGGTAAAATGTAAAAAAAAAGCGGGGTGTGGTGGTACACACCTTTAATCTCAGCACTCAGGAGGCAGAGGCAGGTAGATCTCTGTGGCTTCAAGTTCAGCCTGGTCTATATAGAGAGTTCCAGGCCAGCTGGGGCTACAGGGAGACCCTGTCTCAAAAAGACCATAAAGGGGTTTGGAGAGATGGCTCAGCAGTTAAGGGCACTGACTGCTCTTGCAGAGGACCTGGGTTCAATTCCCAGCACCCACATGGTGGCTACGAACCATCCTTAACTCCAGTTGCAGGGGAATCCGAAACCCTCTTCTGACCTCTGCAGCATTGCATGACACGGGTGCACTCACATACATGCAGGCAATATACTCATACACATAAAATAAACTCAGAGGTAGAGCCCCTGCCTAGACTCCCCCAGTGAGGGGCTGGGGTGTGGCTCAGTGGTAGAGCCCCTGCCCAGTGTGTACAGGGTCCTGGGTGTCATTCCCAGTACTGGAAAAAAAAGGCCAACTCCTTCTGAACACAGTGATGGTTCTCAGCAAAGCCACAGACTTCACCAGCATATACTCCCAGGAAAGACTGGTGAAATTCCAATCATAACACTCATTTTGACACCTCCTCAGGCTCACTGCAGCCACAGCCCCAGATCCTGGTCACCACTGAATCTCTCAGGAATCCACAACCATTCACTGGTCCATCCAATAAACGACAGGGACACCTAAACTCCTCCACTCCTGCCCTACGCCCTTTGGAACACTCCAGAACACTCTGAGCCACCAGAAATGTATGCACTGCTGTGTCCCTCCATGCCCCAGCATCCATTGGTGACAACCAGAGCTGTATAGCACAAACCCCCTGTAACCTTCATCAATGCAGAGACCCCCCCCTCAACACACATACATACAACAAATCCCAGTAAGACCTGTGTGGCTCTAAGTCGCTGCAATTATAGCCAAGCAGGCTCCCCCATTACCCCCTCACATTCAGCTCAGAGGCCTCCAATACGCCAGTGTATTTCAGAAACATCCCCCACACATCCCAGTATGCCCTGATACTAACTCCCCCTCGCTTTGGTTTCAGTGTATCCCCATCACACGCCCCCTGAGCACCTCCCAGCACACCGGCATAATACCTAACTGTGTGCCTATTATATGCCAGCGTCCCTTCCCCCATCAGCACCTCTGTGAGCTCTCCTGACCCCTACAGCTTCCATGGTGAAACCCATGTATTTGTACCACAGCAAGTGGTCTTCACATGCCAGGATACAGCTTCTCTGGCTGCATGCACACAGAGGCCAACCTCAGCCTGTGCCTACTCAGAGTCCAGCAAACTTGTGCATGGGCTCCCAGCACATTCCCCCTCCCCCACCCTGACTATCTTCACAGCTGCATGGAGCAGGTGCTGGGTGAAGGCTGAGGGGCTCAGAGAAGGGGAGGTGAAGTGGGGTGGGGAGTGAGAAAGGGGGCTAAGGAGTCTCAAAGGAAGGACAAGCGGTGGGCCAGATGGGGGAATGATCAATGGGACACAGTTGAGGGGTGGGTCAGAGTCACCCAGTTCAGGCCTGGGTGTTCTGTGACAGCCTCAGGCACAGACCCTATGACAATCTCCAAACTCATAGATAGTCCTTGCTACTCTGACACCTCTACATCTCCAGGAACCATCCCCAGGAGGCAACAGTGCCCTTCAGGCCCCTTTATGCCTCACCAATGGCAAAGTCACCTTCATTCATTTATGTCTGCCACCTCCTCCTCCCCCATCTTTCCTCTCTGAAATCTCAATCTCTCTCTCTCTCTCTCTCTCTCTCTCTCTCTCTCTCTCTCTCTCTCTCTCTCTCTCATAATCTTACTATGAAGCCTAGATTGGTCCACAGCTCAGAGCAATCCTCCTCCTCAGCCTCCCTAGTGCTGGGATGGCAGGTGTGAGCCATCACATCGCACTTGGCTCTGGAGTCTCTTTTAGGCCCCTACTCTGCACACGAACCTCCCAAGCTCTGCAATCAAATACAATCCCAATACAATCAAAGCTCCCTTGTTCATATGACTAGCTCTAGGGCTTTCCACAGGCCAGCCAGTATCTAAAACCCTTCACCATCAGCCTCTGAGGAAGACTTAAATACCATTTATTTCTGCTTTATAGGTAATGAAGCAGAGGCACAGAAAGGTTAAGTAGCTTTCCCCAGGTCACACAGTAAGTAACAATACCCAAGAAGAGATCCGGGTGATTGTAGTTATAATTCCTTCCAGTCCACACCATCCAAATACCTCAGACACATCTCTGCAAAACTTCGAGTCTCCCAACTACCCTTGTAGCCCCTGGGCTTTACCCCAAGATCTTTGAACCCCAAGAGCAACGGATAATGAAATGTGACTCAATGCCAGACGCTTCTCTGAGCATCTCACATTTAAGTCCTTTTTAACACCCCTCAGGGTTGATTGTGAGCGTGTGTTGTGTCGCGCTGCCCCCCCGCCCGCCCCCTTTTTTTTTTTTTTTTTTTTTTTTTTTTTTTTTTTGATCTTTTGAGACAGGGTCTCCCTGTAGCTCCAACTGGCCTAGAACTCGCTATGTAGACCAGGCTGAACTAGAACTCACAGAGCTCCACCTGCCTCTGCCCCTCCCGAGTGCTGAGATTACACAGCACCCTGTCTGTCTCTCCCTCTCACCTGAACCCCATTGTCTGCCCCCTAGAAATGGTACTCCCATCCCCCCAAACTTCCCATCTGTTCTCCTTCAAACCCAGCTTCCTCCAGCTCTCCATCCATCCTCCCTGAGAGCATCCTCCCGACAGACCTGTACCTCACTCTGCAACATCCTGTACCCCCATGTCTCCATCAGCCAGCCGGTCTGAGGGTGCCCTCAGAACACACCGGGGGACCATCCCTCCACCCAGTCACACCACTGTTCCCTTCCTCAATGCGTTCCTTGTATACCTCCACCACCTCTCACCATGCCTGCCTGATGCTCCACTTCCCAGGCCTCAGTGCTCCACATTCTCTTGCCTCTATGCAGTGAACCCCACGATGTTCTCCAGTAACCCCCACATCCCTTCCACTCTACCTGCCCGCTTTCTCATCCATGGAAAGCCTTTCTGTTCCTAGCAGTCTCATTTCTCACAATCCCTGAGACACCCCCCACCCCAGGCTCAGGAGCTGGCTCGATCCCTGCCCCCAAATCCTTTCCCCAGTCCCTGCCTCCCGACCTTACTCCATCACCTTTCTCTGCACACAGCACCCGCCAAACTCAAGTACCCACCCTCGCTGCTCCAGTACCCACAGGTTCCATTCCCCTCCATCCTGCCTCTCACCCACAGCACCCACTTATGCTATGCGGGCTACCTGGCCACCAGGAGCTGGTGCCATGTCCTCCCCCAGGCCATCCCTCTGTGTCCCAGAGAGGTCTCTGGGGCTCGCCGGATCCCTGACGGAGACTGCGGCGCCACCGTGCCCCACCCCCGCCCCCAGGTCCCTCTGGCCCACTCAGGATGCTACAGCCCGCAGCTGGCTGCGGTCCACGGTGCGCCCTCTGGTCCTCAGTTCCCTCTGCGTGTACCCATCTGGGCCCGCCTGTCCAAGGCCTCCTGCCCTGGGGTCCCCAGTGCAGGGAAGCCGGCCCAGTGCCCATGCTGAGAACAGGCACACAGGCAGATGCAGAAGCCAAGCGAGCCTCAGCCCACGTGCCCTCATCCCCGCAGAGGGCAAGAACCGCAAGGCTCCAGGGTCGTCCCTCCCCCATGCATAGATCCCCCATGGGGGCACTGAGAGCCGCACATGGGGACAGAAACACAAGAGGAAACCGTTGAAGGGGTGTGGGGAAGGTTGGGTGTTGGGAAACACAGCCGCAGTCTCTGGGACAGACACACTCTATCACACAAGCGTGCGCGCGCGCACACGCGCACACACATACGCGCGCGCGCGCGCACACACACACACACACACACACACACACACACACGCAGTCCCCAGACAGCCTCGCTATGGTTCCAAGTCACACAGAGACAGACACACAGACGCAGGGACACACAGATGGACATGGCTGGGGTGGGGGGAATGGGCCGGGAGCCCACCGTCACCCCATGTCTGTGTCTCACACTGAAGGCAGTCGCATGCGCGCACATCACTGACACACGTACACCCCGCACAGTGACACGCAGCGGAAAAAGACGAGGGGAGGGGAGGCCGGGGGCGGGATGCCTGAGTGATGGAGGTGTGTGTGGGGGGACCGACTGTGAATGGAAGACAGGGGGTATGAATGGGGGGCCTTGCTGGCTCTAGGAAGAGGGGCGGGGATACCGGGGGGTGGGAGATTGCAGAGACAGGGGGCCTGAGGAGCCTGTGCAGGGACCCAGGGGGAAGGGCTCCCTGGAGTAGGGGAACTACGGAGTGCAAGAGTGGGCTGCGAAGTCTGGAGTAGGGTCCTTTAGTGGGGGTGGGATAGGGTGCAAGGTCTGGGGGATCCTGGAGGCCATGGCTGGGGAGTGCGTTTGGGGGGCGCAGGAAGGGGGAGACCGAGAGGAGCAAGAGGCGCTGGGAGGCCGAGAGAGGGGTCTGGAAGGGTTCAGGCTTGGGGAAGGGAGGCAGAGCGGAGGGCACAGGGCAGGAGTGGGGGTCGTGGCGAGGCGAGGGGGCGGCGCGCTCGGTTACCTGTAAATGTACCAGACACTGCGCCGCCGGGGCCCCAGGGCAGGCCAGCTGGAGGAGAGCGCGGGGGGCGGCTGGGGCAGGGCGCCCCCGCCGGGGCCACCCCCAACCGCAGACAAAGCCATCGCCACCGCGGCCCCGGCCCCGGCCCGGGTCCCGATCCG